GAGAGAGAGAGAGAGAGAGAGAGAGAGAGAGAGAGAGAGAGAGAGAGAACCGCAACTAAACCCTGTCACCCTATCCTTCACTGGCAAAATTTTACACCCAGTCACGGAAACGATGCCAACCACGCGGATCCATAAGGTTCTTAAAAATGGTAATTTGGAGTAAAATGTAACTCAAGGAACTTTGAATCATTCATTAGCACCTTATAATTACTCTGCTAATTAGGTTGACACGGCACTTAATCAGGAGTAATACGCCGTCTTGTCATTGGCGCTTCCCATTACTCTGACATTCAACAAGAGACAGGTTGGAGACGTCCTGAAGAAAAGAACGCAAGATACCCTCCGACGAGGCGGCATCATAGTCGCGCTCCGGGTCCCAATAAATCCACAGTGACTGTTTCCTTTCCAAATAGGCGGCCTGCCACAGTGGGCATGGAAGCCCTGGAGGGAGGCGCGGGGGCGTGGGGTGTCCGGTACTCTGTGCACCCCTGTTCCCGCAGCCCCACGCAGCCCGACACCGCAGGGAACCGAGGCTGCCGTCGCCACCAGAGAACGCCTCGGGCAGGGTTTTCCCGGCTCAGGAGAAAGTGGTCGGCCAGGCATTTCTTCCAGCACAGGCTCTAATGGCAGAGGAAGAGGGATTCGAGCTTAAGGACCGGATCCTCCCCTATAGGGGTTCAAGGAGGGAGGTCTGGTTCTCTCGGTCTCCAGGACCAGCTACCCCGCTGTCGGCTCCTGGAGCGAGACCCGCGCTCAGAGGCAGCTGGCCAGCGCGGAGCTCCCACACTTTCCCGTGGGCTCTCCAGGCACCCCTTGCCCTGCCCCTTGTGTTTACGGACTACTCAAGCGTGCTTGGGAACCTTGCGAGCGCGAACGCGCAGCAGGTCACGGGGAACCGCGGGATCCTTTTGGCCCTGGTGGTCTCTCCACTCAACCCTCCATCCCCGCCTTCACAAGGGCGCTTCTAACGAATCGTTACCACGTCCCCGCTCCCCACCCTCGGGTACCCTTTCTCCTTCGCCTCTCTTTCTTTCCCCCATCTCCCTTCGCCGGTCACTCGTTACAGTGGGTACCACTTGGACCCCCTGGAGTAGGCGTCGGGCTCTGGGCTGCGGGCACACGGAGGTCCCGGTTCTCAAAAGAGCAGCGGGGTTCGAGGCGCGCTGCTGACGGGCTGGCCAGGCGCGCGCCCATTGGCTCCTGGCAAGTCGGCGTCGCTTGCTGGTGCCGGAGCGGCCAATGGGGCGCCGGGCCCGGGCGGCGGGGGCGCGGGCGGGGAGCGGCAGCGGGGGCCGTGACGTCACGGGAGGGGGTCGGCGCCGCCTGCGAGCCGGCGGATGACAAGCCAACGCGCGGGGCAGCGGCGGGAGTCGCCGGGCGCCGCCTGTCCGCGGTCTCCTGCGCCCGCGCCTGCTCCTTCGATCCTTCTCCTCCTCCCGGGGCGCCTGCGGCCGCGGCCGCTCCGCAACTTTCCAAGAAAGTTCAGAAACTCGGCTCCGGAGCGGCCGGGTCGCTCGCGGTGGTCACCTCGGGGATCGCTAGGGCTTTGCGTTCGCTGCACCTGCCTTGGCCGCCGCCGCCGCCGCCAGGGATAGGGCAGTGGGCATACCCAGGCGGCGGCGGTGGCGGTGGCGGCGGCGGAGTCGCTCTGGCCGCCAGCACCTTAGCCTGGGTACCGCGCGCCGCCGCCGCCCACGTGCGCGGTGGTCCAGCAGAGCGCATCTTTCTGCTTGTGGCATTTTTTTGTTTTCTGTCTCTCATCTTTCTTTCCTTTTACTTTTTGCTTATGGGAAAAAGTTGAGTCGAAAGTGTCCAACAATTGCCACGTTCCCGTTATCCTTCTTTCCCGCCCCACTTTTTTTTTAAAGCAGTGCCAACGGATTTTTTTGTTGTTGTTGTTAAGAGTCTGTTTTGTTTTATGATCGATAGTTTCCCTTGCTTGGTCCCGGCGGTTGCTGACCCGCGGAGTGGCGTGGACCTCATGTAGAAATGACAGCAATGGAAGGGGCCAGCGGGTCGAGTTTTGGAATAGACACGATTTTGTCCGGTGCCGGTTCCGGCAGCCCCGGCATGATGAACGGAGATTTCCGCCCTCTCGGTGAAGCTAGGACCACGGATTTTAGGAGCCAGGCCACCCCGTCACCCTGTTCGGAGATTGATACTGTGGGAACGGCGCCCTCTTCTCCGATCTCGGTCACCTTGGAGCCCCCGGAGCCGCATCTTGTGACAGACGGGCCCCAGCACCACCATCACCTCCACCATGGCCAACAGCCACTGCCGCCGCCAGCCGCGGGCCCCGCACAAAGTTTGCAGCCTTCGCCCCAACAGCAACCGCCTCCGCAGCCACCGTCGGCAGCCCAACAGCTGGGCTCAGCCGCCTCGGCCCCCAGGACTTCCACCTCTTCATTTCTAATTAAGGACATCTTGGGGGACAGCAAACCTCTGGCGGCTTGTGCGCCCTACAGCACCAGCGTCTCTCCTCATCACACGCCGAAGCAGGAGAGCAACGTGGCTCACGAGAGCTTCAGGCCAAAGCTGGAGCAGGAGGACAGCAAAACGAAGCTGGATAAGAGGGAGGACTCCCAGAGCGACATCAAATGCCACGGTGAGTTGCGCCGGGGCTGCCCGGGTGATCGAGGCACTTGAGCAACACCCAGAGTGGGAGCTGGAGAGGGCCTAGGCGTGCGATTCAGCAAACGCACCCCAAACTCAGTGGCTCACATTTCTCCCCTACGACCTTCACCGACAGTAGCTCCGTTCTTTGTTTTACTTAATTGTAAATGAGGAGGCTGGCCACTGGGAGAGACGGGATACAAGATGCTTTTCTTTGAAAACGGGGACCGACTTGAGACTGTTTGTGTGTGTGTGGTTTGTTTTAGCTGAGACCTTGCGAATAGGATTGAGGAGGTGGAGAGAAGCTTATAGCTCGCTGGGGTTGCCCCCTCTCTAATCATAACTCGACATTTATTATTGAATGCAAATGCTCCCTCCCCAAATATTTTTCAAATAACAACAAGAATTGTCTGATTTAATGTTGGACAAATTTCCAACGTTATTACGGGAGCAATTTAATTTTTACCAGCCGGTAATTAATACAGGAAAAAAAAGCATAGTACATTAAAAAAAAAAAAAAAACACGCCTTTCGTCAATACCCCCAACAAAATGTCTGCGGCCTAATCAACACTGCGGCCTAATTACAATAACGAAATACTTATGAAAATTAAATTTTATGGACTTGAATTTGTTCTTGTAAAATTAAGACGACATGGAAATTATCCTTTAGCACTATTTTCTTCTTGGGCAATTTCATAAGTAACTGTTCTGGTCTTTGCATTGTAAGAGTTTTAACACACCAAGGAGGTTTTTTTTCTCCCTTTACTGATAAGTTGTTGCTATTATTATTAATAATTATGATTAATGCTTGATTCTCTGGTCAAGATTGCTGTCTGGAAGGTAGGATCTGGGTTCTTCGTTTTACTGTTTATAGCATTAGCATAATAGTGCCCCAAACAGATGTACGGTCTGGTCTGGCGATTTTCGTGCACCAACCTCCCCAGTGGGTCAATTAGAGAGATTATTGTTCTTCCTGCCGGGAAGATCAAGGAGTGCTCCACAAACCGGTACAAACAGAGAGGGATTGACATATCGATTTCCCAGCATTTCAGCAAAAAACCAAAGTTGACAAATAGAATCCGGAAATTTCTGCGCTGTCACCTGGACAGACGGACTCAAGTGGTTTTTTGTTTTGTTTTGTTCTGTTGTTTTGTTTTTTTGAGCTCAGCTCAGTGTCTGAGTGACACATTGTCTCTGAAGCTTGAAAAAGATCTGGTACAGAGGAAGCTGAAGGTAGCCTGAGTAGAACCTTTTCCAAATGCATCTGAAAAAGGAGAAACAAAGGCTTTTAACTTCCAGTAAGAAGGGAAAAAAATTAAAAGTAACATGATGTTTGGGTGTCATAAAAACGAAGTAGAAAGACTTTTGGGGGTACCAAATAAAGAATTTCCCTTTGAAAACAACAAATAAATAAAGAGAGGCCACATTGTCTCCTCTCAAATCAAAGAAAAGGAGTTAGCAGGGGATCAGACACCGCTAGAACTCTCACAGGCCTCTCTACACTAAGGCCCAGTGAGGGGTGTGTGTGTGTGCTGAGTGTAACCTGGTGTGGGAATGTATGTGCCAGGTGGACAGTCCTCTCCTCTCGCCTGCCCCCGTTTCAGGCTGACTAACAGAGTTGTATCACTGTTTCTACCCTAGGAACAAAGGAAGAAGGGGACCGGGAGATTACAAGTAGCCGTGAGAGTCCCCCAGTGAGAGCCAAGAAACCTCGGAAAGCCAGGACAGCCTTCTCGGACCACCAGCTCAATCAGCTGGAGCGGAGCTTCGAGAGGCAGAAGTACCTGAGTGTCCAGGACCGCATGGACTTGGCAGCGGCACTCAACCTCACTGATACTCAAGTCAAGACTTGGTACCAGAACCGCAGGTGAGGACAGTTGTCCGCCCTCCTGCCCTCTGGAGACCACAGGGGCTAAAGCGGGTGCTTTCAGGCAGGGCTTAGCCACACCTCTAAATGAGAGAGCCCTAATTGTCCTAAAAAGTGGTTCTTTCCCGCGTGAAACTTGAGCTACCAGAATTTCCCCCTTGTTGTCCTCAGATCAACCTAGCCGCACCTTCTCAAATTGAAACATCTGTGCAGCTGACAGGATGAGCCTGTGTACCCAGGGTACACTTAGACCTGCCACAGGCTGGCTCCAAATGTCTGCAGCGGGCAACATGACCTAGCTAATGGAAGTCCCCACAGAGCTGTCCCACCAGCCTTGGCTTAAATGTGAGGCAGTTGGGAAAGCCAAGGTCCAAACCTTGGTTGACACAGCCTGGAAGATTAGGGACGCCCATCTGGGTTAGTGTTGGACTGGAGACCAGACTGGAGAATCAGGCAGCTGGTTGAGCATCCAGTCTGGAGAGTGGGGGGGGGGGTAAGGGGCGGGATGTGCGTCCCCTCTTAGCACAGGCTGCTTCTTCTGCAGTCCTGTAAGGGAAAGGGTGGGGGAAAGGAGCCAGATCTTATCCCATACCACGGATTCTCTAAAAAAAAGACGCCAAGAAAGTGACTGGCCTCACCGTGGCGGCTAAGGACAAACTTGGGCAAAAAACAGGCTACGTCCTGTTTCAACACCTGGCACTCGGCTCCCTCATCTCCATTTTCTGCCCCCTCTGTCGTTCGTGTTCTAATCGTTCTTAAGTGGGGTTGGAAATGCCCAATCCGTTGTCATCTTACCATAATTTTCTGTCTCATTACATACGGTTTCAGCCACCCTAATTCTGTCGGAAAACATTAGTGTCATTTGTAGCCAATTTAAAACCGGCGACATGTTTATTAATTTGGCAGGAGCTGCTGGGTGTGGGTGCCCCACCAGGCTTCCCTTCCTTCCTAGGGCATTTGAGTAGATGTCCTCTCTTCCTAGCTTGGTGCACTGGGGGAGGGAGGAGACCCAAAAAATGGATAACAGGCTTTAAGTACTATTTTCTCTTTGAGGAGGAAACGTCTTGAGATGCATTTCCTCCCACCTAAGAATGGTCAGGGGTACCGTTCCCTTGGGAGAGCTCGCTTTCCCACGAATTCCATTTTTAAACCTAGTCACCCTTCTGCGCTTAGCTTGTGAAGCCTGGTAGGGCTGAAGGGAGAGTTGTCTCCACAGCCTTGGAGGGGACAAACCCCGAGGCTCAGGCGCCCTTTGTTTCTGGTTTTGGTTTCCTCGGGTGCAGTGGGATGGGGGATGGGCCGAGAGCCAGCATTTTAGGTCGCCGGTCAGAGCACGTCTAGGAGAATGGGGGTGGGGGAAGGCAAAGGAAGACAGCTGGTGGAAAGATGGGGTCTCATTTGGCCTCCGGAAAAGTTGCAAGACCTAGTTTAACCGTGGGGCGCACAGTATAGCAGAGGGCCAGGGAAGGAAACTCGTAGGATTCCATTGGCGAGTGTCTCCAGGTAGAAGTCGCGGTCTGAAGAACTGATTTTGGTTTGGGGCCATCCTGAGACTGAGTGGGGGAGGCTGAGGCAGGAGTGTGCACCTCGACTTCCCCAGCCTTCCAGGAGCAGGGAGGGCAGGAGACGGCGGGGAGCTGCGGGCTCGGTGCCTGACTGTCCTCCGCAGCCGCCGCCCGCCCGCTCCCTCACTCGCTTTCTTTCAGAACCAAGTGGAAGCGACAGACCGCAGTGGGCCTGGAGCTGCTGGCAGAGGCCGGGAACTACTCCGCTCTGCAGAGGATGTTCCCGTCGCCTTATTTCTACCACCCAAGCCTGCTGGGCAGCATGGACAGCACCACGGCGGCGGCGGCGGCCGCGGCCATGTACAGCAGCATGTACCGGACTCCTCCGGCACCCCACCCGCAGCTGCAGCGGCCGCTGGTGCCCCGCGTCCTCATCCACGGCCTGGGGCCTGGGGGACAGCCGGCCCTCAACCCTTTGTCCAACCCCATCCCAGGCACCCCGCATCCCCGGTGAGGAAGGAGGGACCGTGCCGAAGCCCTCCAGTTCCCATTCCGCCCAGGACAGCTGCCCCGCCTCTCCCGCACCAGGCCAACAGGAATAGAGGCTGAGGAGTCAAAGGGGAGCTCACCGGTGGGCTGGGGTCCCCAAGGACCAGCCAGCTCTCGGCTCTCCATCTGCCCCCTCAGAGGCAGGGATGCAAAGCTCCCAACAGTGTGAATGGCCCCACTGAAAGGCTACCAGTAAGTGAAAAACATCCACAAAAGCAAACCCTCGACTTCTTTTTTAACAGAATGACTTTAGGGACCCGCGGAAGGGAGGGAGGGGGGAGGGCTAAGAAGGGGCGAGAGAAGGGCGTGGAGAGGGGCTCTCTAGCAGAGAGAATTGTTGCTGGACACAGCCTGAAGTTCACCCCCCCCCCCCCCGGGCAGAAGGTGATTTCCTGGACATCCAGTCTGTCTCAAAGCAGAGGAGGGGATGGAGAACTTTGCACTGATTTCTCATGAGATTTTTTTTCTTTTGGAAAAAGTGGCATGCTACATAATATGAAAAAAAATGTACATTTGAAAGACTGAGTGATAAGTGATATATCATATTTATTATATGTTGTCCAAAACAGAGTCACTTATATACATCAGTAAAAAACATGATTTTTCTTTTCATGTCTTTTTGATTCAGTAAAATAAATGCTTAGACAAAAGTATAGATTTTTCTGTGATTGAAAATTACAAAAATAAAGTTTATCTTTTTTTAACAAGCGATGAAATCCCAGGGAGCTGATTTTACTTAAAATAGACACCGATGTTGAAATGCGCGACTTGGGCGCAGAAAAGCATCCCTCCACAAAATTTGTCGACTTTGGGCTGTCTGGTTGACAGACCCTACTTTTCGGGTTCCCGCCTTTTCTGAGCTGCAGAGGCTACGTGTAGTGCCTGTCTTTTTATGCGGATGGTTTAAAGAATGAATACTTGTTTGTGGACTGTTAGTGCTAGCAAAATAGGCAACCGACTTTCCCTGCTCTTCCCGTCTGGACGTGAAGGCTTTGCGGTGTGTGGTGATTCTTCTGTCTGCCCCTCCCCTTCTAGCGCTCTCTTCCTAGGGTTGTGAGAGTCCCGAGCACTGGCCAGCGAAGCCAGCAGGAGCCGGGCGGCAGGCGGACACCAGGCCGGCCTTGCAGCTGTTCAGCCGCCCGCGGCTGGGCACTCGCACAGCCGGACAGCCTGCAAGCGAGAGGCTGCAGGCCGAGCAATTAGGACGCCCCGGGGGACGCTGAGTGCCCCGCTAGCAAACCCTTGTCGCCGCTTTGATCCTTGCCTTCTTAGTCCCCAACGGCGACCTTCCAGCCCCGCAGCCCCTCACCTAGTCGCTCGCTCTAATGAGTTCGCTGTGCTTGTAACTGCGGCGGGAATACAGCGTCAAACTCTAGTTGAGACAAGCTTGCCAAGTCTTGTTATCTGTGCTTCTGGAAGGGCTGGCACCCAAAAGGAAAGATCTTGCCCAGCGTGTAGAGGAGGGCCTTTCGGGACTTCTCAGTGTGTGTGTGTGTGTGTGTGTGTGTGTGTGTGTGTGTGTGTGTGTGTGTGTCAGCACCAGGGCCAGACCTTAATTTTAGACTGCAGGTGGCCAGGGCTGACTCTTTACCAAGCTCAGCAGTAAGGATGGCACCAAGGAAAACTGTAGGGACAAGGGACAGACTAGACACAGCTACCTAGCTCTCAGGTTCCTGTCAGGTCACTTCCTCAGCAGCGGGGAGAACTGGTTCTACCAGCTCCCCCTTTCCTCTAGCCACGGTTCTGTCCCAGGGCTCTGACAAAGAGACCAGAGATAGCTAGTTCACTTTCAGACCAGCAGGCTTTGCTCGACGCCTTAAGCTTTGCTTAAAAAAAAAAAATGTTTTTAAAAAAATGTAGCGATGAGGGGTAAACTGCAGAGGGGTTGGGAGGAGGAAGGAAGGCGGGAGGTGGGAGCAGGGAGGAAATTGCCCCGGGCACCTTGATCAGACCGGTCTGATTAGGGAGTGGCTTGCAGATCTCCCTCCAGCTCCTCAACTGAATCAAAATGGTCGCGGTCTTTTTATGATTCTAACAGGAGTCTGGGCTGGCCCTTCTAATTTTTTGCCCGCTGAGCGGGGACAAACTCAGACAGCTGGGCTTGGCGGGAAAGAGGACATCACTTTGTCCAGCTGAGAGGCCCAGTGCCCCCTCAGCAGACTCTTCCTGTCCCGTCTTATCTTTGGTTGAATTTTTAAAAAAATCAAGCTTCAATAGTTTAGGAGGGTTTGCCTAGGCCTACAAATTCTAAGGCGTGAGGATGCTGAATAGTGTCTGTTCACGCTGGACCCGGGTTTGGTGAGTTCGGGGTCCAAGAAGGGAACGTAGGAAAGCGCAGGTTTCACGGGTGGAAAGAATCCATATAAAAGATTATCCAAGACCATGTGCACAAACCTATACACCCAGGCAAGGCTTTGGCACCCATTGGCACCTGCTGGTTGCCAGGTCAGTCTGAACTTGGACTCTGTGGGTGGTCAGGGCAGGGCAGCCCTTTCTACTCAGTCAGTAATGGCTTTGCATACATCAGAACCCCTGCAAGTCCACCTTTCTTCAGAACCATGCTTTCTTCCTTGCATTTGCTTTGGTTTTGGCTCCTGGCTGTTCTGTGATCATTAGATTGGGGTGCTGCAAGAGGAATGGACCCGGGGGGAAAAGCTGGGTCCCCGAGTTCTTTCCTCTCCTTCAGTATTGCTGCAGAGGAGACCTGTCCCCACGCTACTGCTTAGAAGTCAAGTGTAAAAACTGGTTCATTCCTTTACAAGGGGTCTCTTTTTCCCTGGTGTGGGGTGGGTGATGGCTGATGGGTGAGAAGCAAGGAGGAAGCTATGTGTCTTCTTCACAGGTAACTTAGCTGGAGAAGTGGCTGCCACTGGCTGCACCCCCATGTTCCCCCACTTGCCCTCCCGCTGTCTGGTCTCTGGACGGATTCAGGGAAGTCTAGACAAACAGAAACTCCTGGTGACATTCTTTGCTTCCCATAGGCACACAGGAAAACGAACTTGTATCAGAGGGTTGTTCAAAGCTCCACAGAGGTTCATATCCCCAAGGTTTGCTGGCCTTGAGACCAGCGAGCAAACAGTACAGATCTACAGATCAGAAATCTACTTGTTGGAGAAGCGAAAGTTTCTGGCCAGCAGCCAGTTCTTGCAGCCCAACTAAGCCATTTTCAATAAATTGCAAAGTAACACTTGCTGCTTGGCTCCAGCCCCAGCAAATAGATTTACCTCCCTGTATCAATTTATTTTTTCTCCCCCCCCCCCCAGGAAAGCCCACACAGAGGCAAATTAGCCAATTTCCTGTGTTGATGCAAAAACAGTTTTCCCTTAAACAAAGTCTCCCCCTCCACCCACCCACAATCTGCCTCCTGCCTAGGCAGCCCTTCAGGAGCCTTTGCTCAACTCCTACCTCTTGAACAAGGCTGCGTGGGAGTAGTTTGTTTTGTTATATTTTTAACTTTCTAAAAATATTGGGAAAAGCCCTTCCCAGGACTCAGGAAACTTTAGTGCTTGTTAAACATTGAGGTTACCACGAGTACACTGGAAGGGCTCTGCTTGGTTTTTGAAAAAGTGAGGCAGGGCTTGAAGTCAACATGCTTGGGAAACAAGTCCTGGCTTCTCACAGCCCCGAGGCTGGCCAGCAGCGGATCAACAGCTTTTCCCCTGCAGCATGGAATCTGTATGTTGTTGAGGGAAAGCAGGCCTGCCCTGTGTCCTGCTTACTGACCACAGAGAGATGTGGGCATGGGCAAGTGGGGCCTTCTCTAGGGCTGACCTGGTGGACTCTGGACCAACTTCTTCAGGCATCTCCATTCTCTGGCTTAGTCTTTGTTCAGTCCTACCTTCTTGAGGGAAATCCAGTCCTCTCTACTACCGGTGTCTTGTCTTTTTCTTTCTTTCTTTCTTTCTTTCTTTCTTTCTTTCTTTCCTTCCTTCCTTCCTTCCTTCCTTCCTTTTCTTTTTCTTCTTTTGTGAGTTGGTGCCCAGTGCCCAGTACCTGTCCACGTCGCCTCTAAAACAACATGCTCCTTGCTGGATGAAAGTAAGTGTGTGGGCTAGGTGATAGTGGGTGGGTGGGGCAAGGGAGATGTCACTAGCCTTTTGCATAGGAAAATCACTCCCATAATCTTGGGGAGGAGCCCTTTGCCTCACTTCCTTCTAGCTGAAACGTGAAGGCCTCTGTCATTTTGAGTTTTGATGGGTCGTCGCCATTCTGTTTCCTCCTCCTCTTGTCTGTGACTCTTCATGGCAGTCTCCCAGCTTCTCCCTCCTAGCACCACAGACAGCTCCCAGGTCGCGCTCGGAGTCAGAAGCAAACGCTGGGGGTTCCCGGCCGAACCCAGGCTACCCTGGAGGTGTGTGTGTGTGGGGGGAGTGTGCCGGGGGAGGTCCAGAGGTGATTACAAAGCGCCCTCCCCGGCAGCGTTTCCTGATTAACCCTAAACCCAAACAGGGTCACATTCCAAAGAACACAATCTTCTGATCAATAAAGTGATTCAAAACCCCGAAGATCTGGGGGTAAGTAGCGCTCTGCGACAGAGCGACTCTTAACCAGCCCCGCTACCTCGACTTAAATAGTTCTCAATGGAAGGCGGCCTGGGAAGAGCCGGGCCCGTTGTCTGCAGATCTGAAGCCTCTGCGGCCCCTCCTGCTTCGGTCGCGCGCTCGCGTTTCCTCGATGGCTGCAAGTCAAGGACAGCGCTCCGGAGGAGGCTGCTCTGCAGGTCGCGCCGCGCGGGTCGGGGATCTGCAGCGCTTTTCCCTCCCTGCGTGGCTCACGACTCGTCGCGGCCCCGCGAACGTGGGTGGGAGGCCCTGAGAGCAAACCGCGTGGCTAGAGCGAGGTTGAACTTGATTTACAAAAACAGGTTTGTGGCCCTCGGTGCTGCCCGTGGGAGGGCATGGCCTAGTGGCACGTCCCGGACGGCGGGCCAAGCAGAACGCAGCAGGTCCTGCTGCTGGCTCCCGG